GACCCTGGTAGGACCCCTCCACCTCAACCCCTGCCACCCATGGGCTTGAGGCTGCCTGTGCGGGCCACCTGGGTGGCCTTCTGGAGCTGGTTGGCAAGCTGCCTCTTGCCAGAGAGGAGGCTGCGAATTTGGGGAAGAGGGGAAGCAGCTGAGCATCTCTGGGGTGAAACCACTGGAGGCTTAAACCTGGCTTGTACCAAGGCCATGTCTGCTGCCTGCCTTGCCCAGACCCCATGCAGCACCCAGAGCCACTCCAGCCCCGCCTGGTGGGTGCCCCCGGTCCCATCCCTGTCCCTGTCCCCACCAGCTGCAGAGAGGGCTCCAGCCCGGGTAGCTGCAGGGTTGGGTTTTGGCCAGCTCAGGTGGCAGAAATAAAGTGTCAGGGCACAGGCAGGGACGCCTGGGGTCCCCTTGTAGAGGCAACCCCCATTCCCATGGGGGTTCCCATAGGGAACTATTTCCAATGGGTGACACCCCTCCCCCAACATCCTCCAGCTGCCATTAACCGTCAGCAGCTTCCCACAGCCTCTGAGCCAGAGCTATGAGCCAGTAGAGAACCCCCTCTGCAGCCAGACTGCGGCTGTTGTGCCACGGCACTGGTGGGGGAGCAGCTCCCAGTGATGCTGAACACTGCAGAGAGGAGGAGAGGGAGCTCTGACGGCCTCTCCCTCCTCAGCTAATGCTCCAAAGCACAAAGCTGGGGAGCAGGATCCCCATTTTGGACCATTTCTGGGCTGGGTGCTGGGGTCAGTGCCCTGGGCAGCTTTGAGGGGCTCTCAGCCTCCTCCTCTGTCCAGTGTGCCACGGGCCACACAGCCCCTGGCAGTGAGTGTCCTCCCAGTCCCTCCTTGCCATAGCACCCTCTGCCTTGCCCACCTGCCCCAGGGCCCCGTGGGGACCCTGTGCACCCTCAGACAGATGGGCACAGATGGGCCTGTACCCACCAGGCACAAGGACAAACAATAAAGGGTGCTGAGTCTGCCCCAGTGAAGCTGTCTGTCCCAGGGGATGCCCACTGGCAAGTCACCACCACTTCCTACCCCATGGTCCTCTTGGAATGTCCCCTTCACTGTCCCAGCCCTCACAAGTTGGTGCTGGCATCCCCATGGGGGGTCCCCGGGAAGGGTCCAACCCCAGCAGACCCCCCGCCCACCTCTCCCATGCATGTGTCCTCACATCCTAAGAACACCATGCAGATGTCCCTGGTGTCCTTGCAGGGCACCACACCACCCCTGTGCCACCCCAGGTATCACCCAGAGTGACATTAGCATTAGCTGGGGAACAGTGCTGTCCCCAAAGCGACAAGTCACCCCCAACCTGAGACTGAGCACAGCCAGGACCCCGGGAGAGGTTTCCAGCCCTGGGATGACATGGCCAGGGGAGGAGGACTGCAGGTCACAGAGAGGGACAGGGCTGGAGATGGGGGTACCGATGGGGTGACAAGGGCTAAGAAATGCTCGAGCAGGAGGCAGTGAGGACGACCCGCAACAGGAGGGACACCTGCTGCCACACCCCAGGGATGGGGACAGCCTGGCGGGAGCAGTGCTGGGGGTGCCAGGCCAACCCCACAGCAGGAGCAGACATGGCCACGCAAGCTTGGACACGTGGCCAGACCCGGGGGGCAGGAGGAACCCCACGTGCCTGTGGCAGGGGGAAACCTGGTTCAGGGGGTTTAATCCTACCCGCACCAGGACTGACCCAGCTGGGCCCTGCTTCCAGCCCCACAGAGAGCGGGCACGGGGGTCCACTGAGGGGGGTTGCATGTGTGTGGGTGCGCACATGCATGGCTGTGTGTGCATGTATGTAAGCATGCAGTGTGTGTGCCTGCAGGTGGGGGGTGTGTGCACAGACACATGCACACGTGTGCAGACTCAGGTGTGGAGGTGCATGCGTGTGGGTGTGCGTACACATATTGTGGCCAGTGTGTTTGTGTGCCCATGTGGGCATGTGCAAGGGTGCGTGTGTGCCTGGGGCAGTGGCGCTGTCTGCTCAGGCCCAGGGAAGAGGAGCACACATGGCTGCGGCTGCAGCTCTGCCCCCGCACAGGGTGGCCAGCAGCGAGAGGCGGCACTGACCCCGCGTCCAGAGTGAGCCCCATGGGGCGGTGTCGTGGTTGGGGTGACAGTGACACCATTGGGACAGGCTACCGAACCATCTGCCCCATGCAGGTGCCCGTTCCTAACAATGCCTGTGGGTTGGGGTCCCTCATCTTGACCCCAGCATCCAGGTGGGCAGAGCCCATTGCTGCCAGGTGTGGGGTGGCAAAGATGGGCAGCAGCCCCAGGACTTGTGGGTGAGGGACAGTCTGCGGGAGCCCCCAGAGCGGTGGTGGCCGGTCCCAGTGGGAGAGACAGCGGCACTCAGGCCCAGGCGAGGTAATGGCATGTGGCAACATGAACCACCACAGTGTGGTGGCCGCTGCCAGGCTCAGGGAGTGCTCGGAGCCCCGCCAGCCACCACCGCCACCGTTTGCTCCCTAGCTGCCAGCATGAGAGGAGCCACCATGCCCCTCTCCCAGCGGGCACAGTGTTTTGCATCAGCCATCCTCCCCAGCGGCGCTGGTGGCAGTGAGTACGGGTGGAAGCCACATGCACAGGTGTGTGTGCACAGAGGGGCTGAGGAAGACCTGGATGGCCAAGAGGGTCCCCAGGGACAAAGGAGAGGTCCCATCCCCTCCTCCAGACCTGGGGGTACACACATGCCTCCAGCACCCCCATGGGAATCAGGGATGGCATCACCCACAGCAGGGCTGTGATGGTGCCATGCCCTGTCCCTGTCCCAGCCCCTCTGCCTGGACATCAGAGCCACTGTGTCACCCAGCACAGAGCGAGCTGCTGTGTGGGCTTGAGCTGTGCCTGAGCTGTGGGCTTGCAGCCGTGCAGGGGCCCTGCAGACAGGAAGCCCAGAGAGGGAGAAACGTGGCTGAAAGCCCATCTCATTAGTGATTTGCAGCGTTAAGTGCTGCCCTCAACTCTTCCAGCCTATGTGTCCCATGCCTGCCAACGAGAGGGCTGGAAATGAGGGCTGGAGGGACACAAGGACGCTCTGGCACGCTCCCGCACTGGCGCCTGGCTGCTGACATCCCTCTCATCTGCCCCAGCACACTCAGTGCCCTGGGGCTTGGCAGTGTCTCGCACACATATTCATAACCCTGGCCCCAGGCCGTGGGGCAGTCCTGTCCCCCCCAGCATCTCCTGGTGGCACAGGGATGATGGACTTTTCTAAAACCAGAATCTCCTACACAGACCCTGGTGATACTGCAGGGCTGGGGGACCTGGGGTTCCTTGGTGTGGACCTGCACTGGGACAGTGTCCCCGTGCTGTCCCTGGCCCTGGGTCACCCATGGCCCCGCTGGTTCTGCCCCACTGCAGCATTGCACAGCCCAGCGCAAGCCAGGGCTGCTCAGTCTCAAAGTCCCTGAGGTGGGACAAAGAGGGCAGGGATGTCCCCAAAGGCTACAGGGCAGCAAAGACATGAGTAGGGCTCAGGTCTCCTGGTGAGTGCATGGCTGCCCAGGAACATCTCACACCAGAGGGGAGAAGGAGGAGGGGGATGTTGAGAACTGACCAACTCACTGCAGCCTGGCATCATGCCCCGTGGCTGTGACTGAGCCTCCAGCCCCCTACCCCACAGACTCTCTGGGTGGCCCCATGATGCAGGGGGGACTCAGTCCAGTCCCACAAGATCCCACCTCCCTCGAGAGCAATGAGTCTGGGGTATGCAATGGATTACAAAGAGTTTCCTCCCTGCCATGGAAGCACAGCTCTACTGGAACGGCTGGCAGGGGAAGAGCCCAGCCGGCTTTGTAATGGCCAATGAGGAGATTTGCCAAAAGAAGGAAAAAAAGGGTTGTCAAGAGAAGGCAACAGCTCTGAGCCATCAGGCAGCAGTGCCATAAGCCCTGCTGCAGACCCACAAGGTAAGGGGAACGCTGAGCTACCAGGATCAGTCTCTCTGGCAGCAGGATAACTAATCCAGGGTATTTTTAAGGAATTATTCCTTTTTTAAAAAATATTTTTAAGGAAATATTCCATTTTTTTGCCATTCAAGGCAAAGGAGCTGGAAAGGGAAGATGTGGAGCTGTAGCTCAGCAGTGAACAGGGCTATCACCCAGCAGCTGCTGCTTAACATTGACCAAACCAGCAAGAATCATGTCTTGCCCAGGTGGGCGGGGAGGACGTGCCCAGGGTCCCCCACAGCAGGACCGACCTCCTCTAAATTGTGTTGGCGTAATTGGGGCTGAGTTAGACTAAGACAAAGCTTTGCATCCCCAGAACAGCCCTGAGCTTTGTGCAAAAGCAAACCCCTCAGTGTGTTCCTGGCGCCGGCCCCACAGGATCAGGCACATCCACAGCACTGGTGCCGAGCTCTGGCGGGCAGCACCTCACCGCACACACCGCGCTGGATCTCACCTGTGCTTGGCACAGCCTGAAATGGTGCAAGACCCCAAGTCCCTGGGCTGAGCAGCACAGCCTCAGGCGGAGCAGGGCCAGGACATACATTGGGGTTTTTTTGATTTTTGGGCCCCAAACCGCAGCACTGCCTGCAGACTGGAAGGTGCTACCACCCAGAGAGGGAAAAAGCACAAAAAATCCCAAAAATTAAATTGTTGGAATTACATCTGGCTAAAAAGCAAAGCTCCAGCTTGGAACCAGGAGGAGACAAGGTTTCCCAGGCTGACCCAACTGGTGCACATAGGGCACTCAGCACCAATCCACCTAATTCCCTTACACCCAAAGACACAAAATGTGTTTTGAAACCAGCTACAGGCACTGCTCAATACGTCCCAGCATGTGGCAATGCACAGTATAGACAGGTGTCACAGGGAAAGAGTTAATCATTGCTAGTTATACTAACAGCAGAGACTATCATCTTGGCTAACACAGCTTATTCTCTCAACCTAATCTTCATTATATCTGACAAACCCAGAGAGAAGGCAACACATCTGGCATTCAGTCTGGCTCAGAAAGTTTCCAAGACTTGGGAGGAGAAAAGGGGGGTTTGGATGAACCATTTTCTAGGACAAGAGCCTGCTCCCCATTTTCAAAACAAAAGACTTGGGCTGCAAAAGAGTCAACTGGGGAACTTGGCCAACAAGAAATTGGTCGGGAACTTCTTTCATCATCCAAATTTACAATGAAAAAGATAAAAAAAAAGGAACTTATTTTCACAGGGGAGTGCATTTCTCCTCCAGCAGTGCTGGCTCAGGCGATGCAGCTGGACCCCAGGAACGACGGGCAATGCTGGGGTGCGCAGGGGTGCCCTGAACCCAGACAGAGCCCCGGGAGCAGATGCTGACACTGTGCCTTGGCGGGGGAGGGAGGAGTGGGAGGGGGGGCACATCCAGACACGCCACCGCTATTTTTCAGTGTGTCCAAAAGATTTCCCTCTCAAAGAGCGGGTCTGAGCCCCGGGTGTCCCCGCAGCAGGGAGGCTGGCCGCTGGGCCCTGCGACCCCCACCCCGCAGCCCCGGTGGCCTCCCGTGGCGCTGGGGATCCCCCGGGTGCCGGAGCCTCCCCCGCACTGGGCGTCCCGCAGGTCGGGGTGCTCCGCGCGGCCCCCCCGCCCCCTGTAGCCCAGGTTCCCCCCCGCCGTGCCCGCTGTCCCCCTGCCCTCCGTGCCCGGTGCCTCCGGCGCCCGCCCCGCTCACCTTGAAGCCCGGCGGGCCCCGCGCGTCCCCGGAGCCGAGGCAGAGCAGGAGGATGCCCAGGAGGCAGCCGAGGGCGAGGAGCAGGAGGACGGCGGCGACCCGGCGGACCATGGCGGGGCCGAAGCGGGGGCAGGTGAGCGGCTCCGCGGCGGCTGCGGCAACTCCTGCTGCTCCTCCTCCCCCGCCTCCTCCTCCTCCTCCTCACCCGCCTCTCCCGGCTGAGTCACCGCCGCCCCGGCCCCCCCGGGCGGGACACCGGGCTCCGCCGGGCTGCGGGGGGCCGGTCCCGGGCTGCGGGACCCACGGCTGTCCCTGCCCCGGGATCAGCCCCATCTCCCCCCTGCGCCGGGCATCACCCTGCCCCGGGATCAGCCCCTTCCAGCCCCCCAGGGGCATCACCCTTGTCCTGGTGGCAGCTCCACCTGCCCCCCCGGGCATGGTCTTTGACAGGATTCAGCGCCATCCCTGCCCCCCCAGGCATCACCCTTACCCCGGAGTCAGGCTTGTCCTGCTGCTCAGGACATCACCATCACCTGAGCCCCGATCTGTCCCTCCTCCCCAGACATAGCCTCTGTCCTCGGGATCAGGCCCATCTTCTCCCTCCACTAGGCATTGTCCTTGACCCAGGACTCAGACCCATCCTGCCCCCCACAAAGCATCGCCCCTGACCCAGAGATCAGATGGGTTTGATGGGAGGTGAGAACACCCTGAGTATCAGAAGAGCTCCAAGAAAGTGTCTCACCTACCATGATTAACAACTACAAATATATTACTGCTTTTAATCATTACAAGGAGTTTGTGACAGCCCTGAGAAGCCCAGATGTATATTGAGATTGTTTTTAATATGGTCAGAAGTGAATAATGTAATGTGTTTCCACATAGAGCAATGAGCCAAGGAAGGTTGGGCCCCTGGCTCTGAGAAGGACATTTTGAGCTTGCTTACACAAAGGGATAAAACAGCGAACAAAATAATAAACAAGGAGATATCACCAAGGAGAGGAGGCTGAAGGAGTACGTGGCTTCCAGCCCAGCTGGGTTGCAGGCTGAGGATCACACACCAGCTCCTTGCAGCCTGCCTCACTTTGTAATTTATTCTGAAGCAAGCCACTTTTCCTGCCACCCTCAGCTGCCCTGCACGTAGCACTGATGCCCACGTAGCACTGGTGCCCATTGCACTAGCACTGCGGTTTCCACAGAGCTTCCTGCCATCGTGGTGGCACCCGGGTGCAGAAGTGCTCGAGGGGCCCAGCCTGTGCCTTGGGCTTGTGGTCTGGGGGACCTTGGCCCCAGCGTGCTACTGTGTCATGGAGGCTCTGCTGCTGGAGGCCCTGCCGGTTTTTGTCCCCCAAAGCAGTGACCAAAGCAGAGTCTGGGGAAGATAGTGCCTGAATAGGGGCAGAGAGAGTGACCCTTGCATGGCTGGTGCCCACCACCACAGCACAGGGCTTCTCTGCAGGACAGCTGTGGTCAACCTCTGAGTGTTTGCAGGGGTGTCTACCTCCTCAGTTCAACTCATTAAGCATTCAACCTCTGGAAAACCTGTATCAATCAATTCCAACACAATACTGATTTATGTGAAAAATTATTCCCATTTGCTGCTGCTGCTAATATTGCAGGAGACCATAGTCTTGGCTCTAAGGATCAGCAGAGCATCATTTCTGCTGCCTTCCCGCATCACTGCTGACTTTAAGGCTCTTCTCAATTTTCCATACCTGCTGTTCTTGACTCTTCTTGCCACCCTCCTCACCCATCCGGTGTTTCTGATGCACACATCTGCAGGTGCAGCTGCAGCAGGGATTAACAGAAGCAGAAAGATCTTCCCTGGATTACACTTAATCCCTTTCTCAATAGCTTCCAACCTCCTGATTGCCTTTTTGTCTGGGCAAGCAGTGAGAAGAGGTCTTTGGGGACTGAAAAGGAACCACAAATCTTTTCTGAATGGTAGCGAGCAGAGACGGGGCTGGGAGAGCCCTGTACAGTTAGGGATGGTCTTTTCTTTGCTCCTCATCCATATTTTGCACTTAGGGACTTTGGAGCAAGTCCCTTTCTGATAGGCAGTTACTCTCATGGTGGGACCCTCCTGGGATTTGAGTGGAGATGTGGCTTCATACTTTGGTCTTGCGCAGACTTGGTCACATTGTTCCCAGATCGCCCATTCGTGACACAGAGCAGGGGGTTTGCATCCTTTCCCTCTGCAAGAGGGGTTGTCCCTCCTTCCCTGCACAGGGTCATATTTGCCATCCTCTGCCCAGCCCCAAGGGCGGTGGGGGTTGAGCTGAGGTCCAGGGGAGCCGATCACTTGTGTCCCAGGAGACTCAGCCTCCAGCACAAACTGGGAAGCACCAAGAGCTGGGACATGTTGGACTGGAAATGCTTCCAGACATTCAAGGGGAATGACTTTCACACAGACCCATGTATAGCCAGAGAAATACCCCAGTGATGGTGTGTTCAGGCAGGGAGTGCCCCAACCCCACTGCCCTGGGCTCAGCTTGGCCAGGGCTGGGCAGCCCCCACAAGGGGAGGCTCCCATGAGCAGCAGTTCTTCATCGTGCCCCATTTACAGTAGGCACGACGGGCAAGGAGAGCAGGGCAGGGTGGCAGCACCTCTGTCTGCGCCTTGCAGGCATCCCTGACCACTAATCAGGAGAGCCCAGCCATGTCCTTGAGGAGGAGCAGGTGCCTGCACTGAAGTGGCCACCCCAGGTGGGCAGTGCCTGTCCAGGAGCATGAAATGAGATCCAGAGCTTCAGGCACAAACAAATTCAGTGGGGAAAAGAAAGTGAGGGTCAGGGAGGGCTTTCTCTGCAATGGAAGATGGAGCAAGGGATCTCCCAATACCATGGGAAGGAGACTGTAGCTTCATTTGTCTGAGGAAACCAGGGACACATGGATTTTGGATGCCAGGAATGGAAGGCTGGCACAGATGCCACCTCTGCAGGACACCACGTTTTGAAGTAAGATATGCCTGAATGAGCATGTTCAATGCACTAACAGCTGCGTGTGGAGCCAGCCTGGTGCAACCAGATTGTCCTGCTGCCCTGTCACCTCTGTTACCCTGTCACCTCTGCCAACTTGCCACCCTGCTGCCCTACTGCCTCCCTGCACCCTGACACGCTCCTTGTTGTTGTGTTGCACAGCAAGGCAGGGGTGGAGGAAGAGCAATGCCAGGTCTTGGGGCCCTGTGCTCCATGGGCTGTCCAGTGCTTCTGGTATCCCACTGTCTTCATGCCCCCGGTGCCATGTCTGCTCTTCACTGCCTCATGTCCAGTTTTTCATCCACCAGAACCCCCATGTCCTTCTTGGCTTGATATTGATATCAGGAGTAACAGAGACCCTAAGTATGACCAGACACTTACAGTAACCCGATATAACCATATAGTCAATCAGATGCAGGGCCATGATTTGCTGTGAGCCAGCAGTAAGATCCCCAGAGTTTAATGCCAATTTTGCATGCTTACAGCCTGTGTTTGGGATGGCACCTCCATTACAGGGCCAAGGCAGTGAAGGACCAGGCGTACTTGTGAGATATGGCACCGTGATGGGGCCCAGAGGAGCAAGTGGATGTCACAGGAAAAGGGGGTCCAGATCGGAAGCCCCAACTCCCAACTGTGCTGGTGCCTTGACTCACTCCATACCTGGGTAAGCACTGAGAGCTTGCTCCCAGGTAAAGCTGAATGAAGATGTGCCACCAGCACACCCAAGGCATCTGCAGGCTCTTGGCATAGAAACATAGGATGGTTTAGGTTGGAAGGGGCCTTAAAGACCATCTAGTTCCAAACCCCCTGCCCTGGGCTGGGACACCTTTCACTAGACCAGGTTGCTCCAAGCCCCATCCAACCTGGCCTTGAACCCCTCCAGGGATGGGGCAGCCACAGCTTTTCTGGGCAACCTGGGCCAGGGTCTCACCACCCTCACAGCAAGGAATTTCTTCCTAATATATACTCTAAATCGCCCCTCTTTCAGTTTAAAACCATTTGCCCTCATCCCATCGCTCCACCCTCTGACCAAGAATCCCTCCCCATCTCTCCTGGAGCCCCTTTTAGGGACTGGAAGGGTCTCTAAGGTCTTCCCGGAGCCTTCTCTTCTCCAGGCTGAATATCCCCAACTGTCTCAGCCTGTCCTCACAGCAGAGGAGCTCCAGCCCTCCCAGCATCTCCATGTCCTCTTCTGGATCCACTCCAACAGGTCCATGTCTCTCCTGTGCTGAGGCCCCACAGCTGGACGTAGCACTGCATGTATTCCTTCATCACCCACCGCTGATGTGGACACTGACTTCAGCTCAACAGCACAGGGGAGACAGGGCTTTCCCCTCCCCACTCCAAGCAGAGGCTTCCCAGGAAAAACAGGTCCTGGTGGCAGTCACATCCCAGGTGGGCAACAAAGCCTGTCCCCACCCCAGGGGACTCACAGGCAAAATATTCACTGGGGACAAAGTGGCAGGTGGGGAACAAAGATGAGAAGGTGGGGGGTGCGTTACTCATCCAGCAGTGTGGGATAACTGCTTCCCGGACAAAGGAGAGAGGTTTTTCTAATCTACCTCTTCCAACAAAAACATCTGACATGGGGCCACCTGGGCGAGGGCTGCCTGTGTTGAAGGAGCGATTAGTGGAAACACTGGAACAAGAGCAGGGACTCGCTGGCTGGCCCGGGGAGGTGGTGCCTGGGCATGGTGGGGTTTGCTGGTTGTGGGGTTCAGGGCTTCTCAATGTCTTCATTAAACAAGGATGAGCACATCTGGGAGCACTGGTGGGCGGCACTGCAGTTCCACATGTGGCTGGGAAATAACAGGAAGAACAGAATGAGCCTGGAGACACTGCAACAGGCAGGGGTCCAATGGGAGGGATTAGGACAGGGATTCTTCTCCCATCTGCAAGCTCCTTGGCCAACAGCAAGTGTAGGGGAGATTCAACCAGGAGCATTCAATAATCTGGGGACTAGGATAAGCCACTGGTGTGGGCCAGCCATGAGCAATGCACAAGTAGCCCCATGATGCACTCAAGAGCTGCTAGAATAAAACACTGATCTCAGCCCTGATGGGAGCTCCAGAGCAGCCCCCGCCTGCTCCTGAGAGGGCAGTGGGTGCCATGGCTATCCTGCAGAGAGTCTCAGGGCAAGGAACAGCAGCAGGTAGAGAGAGGGGCTGGTTGGAGACCAGCACAGTCCCTGTGGCAGCCAGCAGCACATTTGGGATG